TTTTAGTATTTAAAAGGTAGATATAGGCATATTTTTATCTCCTAAAAATTTTTCATCTGTTCGAATTTCCTAGCTGAAAGTCTAGTGATGCGAAAATTGTAGGGATCAAAACTTACCTTTTCGAAAATTTCAGCCAGAAAAAAGGCTCCCGAAAATTCTTGGAGACCTTTATAGGGTAAAAATCCGGCGTTAAAAATGGGCAATTATGCTATTTTTAAGATGTTCGAAAATCCTAGGAGAGGAAGGCAAGCAAGAAATTTTACAACAAATGTTCCGAAAATTCTAGATCTCAAATCGTCTTCCGAACAGATATTTCCGAAAATTGACGTTGGGTGCCCCTGATTTTCATTCTGTTCTGATGATTACTGACTATCGATAAAATTTGCGAGCTTGCGTGAGAGGTTACAAAACCGCGACGAAAAAAATGTTGATTATTTTTGTCACTTCTATCAGGAGCCCATCAATGATGGGCTCCTGCTTCTATCAATTTTAAGATGCAAATATCACGGAAGAGTAACTCAAAACCTGTTTGTGAAATGTACAGAGTGCACTTTGTTTCAAATTTTAAATATTGAGATTGGTAATTGAGCTATTAAAGAAAGTGTGAAGAAATTAATCTTGTCGGTCAATTCATTATTAAAAGTAACACGCCGTAAATTTAAATAATTCACAACAGTAAAGGACAGGAAGATGGCCATATTGTCAACAAATGTCCACAAAAGGCTGGGAGACTACTCATTTTGAGAATCAATAAAGTACAATTTGTTTCTCCTTCAAATACATGAAATTAAGTCTGATCTTGTGAAGGGGTATGACATTTATTCGAAAAAAATATTGCTTGTTACGAATATTTTCACTTTCCAACCGCTTTTTTTACAAATAGTGTCGGCTATTAACCTTTGTGAGATGATGATATTTTGCTTTAATGCATGACTCTATACCCACGCTTTTTTTACAACCATGTCGCCAAATGTAATCAAATGAGAGCCTTTCGCCCGCAGTTCACTTTTCTTCCTGAGTTCAAGGGCTCACTCTTTCAAAACACCAAACACAACAGCAACCGCGAACAATGACGCATTTTGAAAGGATGATGAGGAAAAATTATCCCTGAATTCATTCCAAAGAAAGCGACTGGCCATGAAAAATCCCTGTCCGTTGTTCGATCCTATACTTACATTACATATTAAGCGAAATCGCTCCATTCCTAGTTCCTTTACACGACCCTTGATGTCTTCTGACAGGCTCATACAGAGCCAACGACACCTTTGAGAGTCGTAGGATTGGTTCGAAAGCTTTTCTTGTAGAATTTCATCCATTATTTTCTTGATCTTGTGCGTATAGAACACTCCATGTTTTCTTTCGCATGTGCCTTCCCCTTGCTCTTGCGATTCCGTTCCAACTTTCAGATCTGTATTCTTGTTTCTCCATGGCCCTTCAGTCCACTGTCCTTTTCGTAGATTTTCTCCGGTTACTGATCCGCAGCGTAAGCTTTTTTCAAAAACCCCACATTGCTGGCCACGAAATTTGTTTCTCATCATTTCAACGTTTTCTTCTTTGCTTTCAAAAAATCAAGTCTCGCCTTCAACGATCTCTCTTCCTATCTAAAAATTGTACTTAATGCACAATAGATTTTTAGCTTTACTCAAGGCCAGTGGGTGTTTGACTTCAACTTACAGTAATTGAAATGAATCGTTTCTGGTCTAAATGCGCGAAGAGATTAATTGCAGTGAGTTATCATTTTCTCGAATTGTCGAAATAATAGTTGGTACTCATGCCGTGCACACCTCAGTCGAAAACCTATTCAATTTGCTGAATGAAGTTTGCGCAGCAGATGTTCAAAATATGGTCGCTATAGGAACTGTGTAGACATTCAGTTGTGAGACCGGAAAGGTCTGGGTCCCCCGCCTGTCATGTTTTCGGAAATTTTTCGAGCAATATGACTTGAATTGAGAACTTTTTAATTTATCGCTTATTAACTAAACTTCTCTGTAACGAAATAATTGTCATGTTTGCCATATGGCGTTTACCCACTGCCTGTTTTTTTTTTTTTTTTAACCAAATAACACAAATCTTCTCCGTTTAATAGGTGGAAAAGTGTTTATAACATACCTGAATTTTGTAAGTTAATTGTCCATACAAACTAATTTTTAAAGACACAGTTGAAAATCCCTTTTCAGGGAAATTAGATGTTCAGTTGTCGCTCGCGCCCACACAAGCAGAGCTAGGGATCAAATGGTTAGCTTATCTGCCAGCTATTATCTAGCATCATCCCTCAAAGAAGGTTTGTTTAATTTGTAAAAATATAATTATTTTCTATATAGTAAAACATATATACTGAAAGCGCACCCCATATTAAGCGAGTTCCTTGTATTGCAGACGACATTGCCCGCGAATCCTAAAGGTTTTTTCAGTTGTTTTCTGCAAAACAAATTGTATATACTTGGACATTAAAAATATGTGGTAACCGGCTCAACGCAGAATTTAGAATCTCTTTCCCAGTGCAGTGCTTCTTCAACTGATCTCAAATAAAGAGAGAGAAGCCTGGAGGCAAGGCTGGAAAACACCCACAATTCCTCCGCTATTGACGCATGCGGACTGAAATACTCGTGAGCGAGATGACGTCAGGTAGTTGGTTCTTTCAGAAGGATTGCACGCTACAGATGCTTGTAGTTCAGTCATTTGAGAGTTTATTGAAATTTCCCTGCTACTCACAGAGGTATTTTTCTCTCCTGGGGTGACAACTCTGTGCAAACTTAAACCTCAACATGCTTATAACGTTCAAAACGCTTCAACAACAGACTTTTAAGTTAGAAATCGACGACACTGCAACGGTAGGTACCAAATTAACAAATCTGAAGGGTCTTTCGATCTGCACTTGTATTCTCTATGGATAAGAGTTACGTCATGATCTTTTAACCACCAAATTCCCCATCGTGCTACCAAGGAACATAGACTTTCTTTCATATCGTGTAATGTACGTTTTTGTATGTGTGTAAAATTATGCGAGGATTTTTCACTTAAAATGTCCTTCCGGCGTCACGCGTTTAAAAATTTGTTACAGCCTAAGAATCATCTGTATCACTCCGTTCTTCAAAGCACCTTTAATGATAAGTGGTTTTCTGTATATCTACCCCGTTGGCGTCTAAATTAAAGAGTATTTATATTTTACTTGTATCTACATTTGAATAAAGTTCTATTTCCAGCGATTAAAAATATCAAAGATATATGGTTCTAAGCTTTATACATCTGTAATCATCTTCCTATTTTCACATGTTTTTGTCGTAACAGTTTATTTGTTCTCTTTTTATTTTTGTGTTCCCCGAATATTTCATTATTATTTTCATCGATTATATTTCTCTTTTTTGTTTAAACGAATATTTAATTCCTGCAAAGGATGTATTTAAAGAAGTGTTATTGTTCATTTATGTCTTGGCATGCATGTACACTGCTTACAGTGTGTAGAAGAATGTGTATAGCCTAGATTACTCTATCAGCTGAATGAAATAACTGGGGACCGCTGATTATGAAACATTAATTATGTGGTCATGAATAAAGGGTAAAAAACAAGGATCTGTAATTTGTAGTATGAACTGAGAGGGTAAGAGATGTGCGCTATATGACTTTCTAGCTGTGGAACAGGAAATAGGGTGGTTGGAAAAGTAATTTGCTTGCCTTAAAAACTTTGATTTTATATATAATTAAGCAAACAAAAGTGCATTAAATAGCTTAACAAAATATAACTAAACTAAACATTTGTGGCTTTTTCATCAAAACAGAGGCACTTGTCAAAAGAAAAGGAACGATCTTTTCCATGACTTATTTTTAACACATGCAGTAACTTATGGACTGAAAATTTTCTTCTTAGAACAAGGAAAGACTTACAATTTTAGTCATATGATTAATAAATTAACTTGTTGACCTTGTGTGGTTATGTTTTTAGACCAGGTTCATGTTTGCTGGCAAGTGCCCAAAATTCAAAGAAAAATTAACAATGAGCTGAAAAAATATTAATTATTATAAATATGTATTTTAGTTCATTTGTAATTCTTTTTGATCAATAAACTGAAAAAAAGAAACATGGTACTTGTAGTGTGTAAAGGTACCATCCAGGGGCCAAGTTGTTTGAAGCCCGGTGAGTGGTAATCTTGGAACAAACAGAGCCCACAAATTGTCATTGTAATGAACCCTGGCAGGGTGCAAAGAAAGTCAGTTTTACAGCCTTCCATTCGGGCAAGCTGTAGCAAGCATGTACTAGCCCACAAGTCATTTCCACTAGCCCCAAAACCCTTTTTGATACGCAGGATTGATTACAATCTTTCTGTAATTTAAATTCCCCAAAAAACAGCAGTTGCCCGTTGGGCAAGTTAAGAACAAAAATCACTAGCCCGATAGCAAAATCCACTAGCCCCGGGCTATCGGACACAACTTTCTTTGCACGCTGCCTGGATTTGCACTAATCGTCTGTCAAACAACTTGGCCCTGTTGGTTTTATTTGAGTGGTAGGTGATACCGTGAAGTATCGGAAAGGTTTGCAATAATAATTATGTTGTGTCATACAGATGTCATCAGATGAATGTTTGATAAGGGTCCATGTCACCATAATCCCAACGAATGTTTTTAATGTTTTTTACAGGTTGCAGACCTGAAAAATAAACTCGAGTCAGAGAAAGGTGAAGATGCTTACCCTAAAAGTGCTGTCAAACTTATATATGCTGGTAAGTAGAACAAAATAACACATTTACAGAGTGATTTAAACAAACTGTCTTCATTCTGAGCTCTGTGGCCACTGTCAAAAAACGTAAAAAGATTGTATTACACTAACTTAGACTAGTACAAAGGTGAAAAGTAAATGGAATTCTTATTAAAAAGATTTTTCCAATTATAATCGATGAGCAATTGGGTGGGTCAATCGCATTGATTCTGATGATCCGTTATGAAATCTCAGCAGATTTTCAACACTCCTTGCACCTAACTTGACTTGACTTGTGTGTGACTGTGTTACATCTTACCGCACTTCATTCACAAATCAAGAGTTCACTTTCTGGCCCATTTCTGTCTAACTTCTATAGTGAGCAGTACACATGAGTTTCCAGTGTTTGAGAGTTGTTCAGCCTCAGTCAACTGCTGTTATGTGGGATTCTATAAGACTTTATCCTTACTCTATGACTCTGTTTTAGGAAAAATATTGAATGATGATCAGCCGTTATCAGAGTACAAAATAGATGAAAAAGGATTTGTTGTTGTCATGGTCACAAAGGTAAAAAAGTTTTATTGTTACAGTGAAATTTCTCCTTTGGGACACCTCTTTTGAAAGGACACCTCCATTCATGGGACGCAAAATTTGGTCTGGAAAAATGCTCACGTAATCTCTGTATCTGTTACCTCTGTTGAAGTGACACCTCTGTTCAGGGGAAAGAGACACTTTTTCTGGGTCCCAAAACATGGCCTTAACTGCTATTCAGGGGACAAAAAAGTTACTGGCCACAAAAAGTGTTGATAAGTTTTATTGTACAGTAGTCACGATGACAATAGCTTTAACAACATGAACTATCTCACTTAAATCGATGTACTGTACTTGTGGAAATTCAATACACAATATTACAGAGATAAATTAATCATGATTTTTTTTATAGATTATTTGGCTGCTTGAAATACTGACTACAGCAGATTCCAAAGCAGAATAGAAGAAAAATATTTTATTTGTTGGTTGATAACAAACAATAAGAAACCTCAGCCCAACCTCCGTTCAGGGGACACTTTCCTTGGTCCCGAGGAGGTCCCCTGAATAGAGGGTCCACTGTGGTAGCAGGGCTGTGCTCAAGCCTAGCCCAATGGCCCCTGACGCCCAACTTTTGCCTTTGGGCGACTAGTAAATCTTATATTTTCATACAAATCATATGCTGGGCAATCCTAGATTTTAGAAGCTCAGACCACTGGGTTTTCTTCTTATTGTCCTTAGAGCACAGCCTTGTTAATAGTGAAAACAAAATCAGGGATAAGAGAAAGGCAAAACACTAATGATATTGCCAGGCTTTTGTTATTTTGAAAGTCCTCTACAATGATGAAGACAAACTTCTATTCCTGAAAATATACATGTATCATTATCTTTTTCTGATAACAATGTTTGTCTCTTTGTTTTGTAGCCTAAACCTGCCCCAGCTCCAGCCCCAAGTCCACCTGTATCCACTCCCCAGGTGAAAAACATAACAAGCATCCATACTGTTAAGTGATATATGTAATGAATACACCAGGACTTTGATGGGGTCCCCGTAAAAACTCATTCTACGTACCCCTTTTGTTGGGGTGTCTCTCCAACTTGGTCATCTATGGTGTAGGTGTATGTTGTGGTTCAGTTTTATCCTTGGTTTAAATTTTATTTTCCTTTGTTTTTGGGTATGGTAATGTGCATGTATGACAATGCATTTGAAACAAAGAAAAATTTAAACCAAGGATGGAATTGAACCATAACAAGTACACTGTACATTTCAGCTACATGTATGATGTGGGTTTTCATGTTTCTTCTCAAGTGGCTTCCTAAATCTTTTTTTTTTGTCAATTTCTGGGCATCCTGGATTTTGTACGCTTTGGGCTCTCAATAATTTTTTCCTCTTGGTGATCAATGCTTCCAGAACTCCTCCCCCCAAATTCCATTAAAGAAAAACAAAGGTTTTGGTACACTTTTATGTCAACTGTTCCAAAATAAAGTTACTAGTGAAAAGGTGTTTTCAATTTGAGGTTGTGTAAAGAGATATTAATTGATTAACTGTTGAACATTTGACAACACCGACTACAAGAAGTTTTGTAGCCAACACCTGTAGCAGCAACAGACAGTTCATCAAGATCTACTGATGATACAAAGTCTGAAAGGTAAGATATCAGGGAGGGCTCTGTTAGCTGGCCTGTTTCTCCTCCCACTTGGGCAATAAGTACAATGAAACCTATATTAAGCAGACAACTAGTTTTAACAACAACAACCAACCAACCATTTTATTTGCCAAGTTAAAAAAAAATGTTTACAAGAACAGGACAAATTAAAGTAGATCAGGCAAAAAAACTACCTAGAATTGCAAAAACTAAACAAGCTAAGTAGATACAATACTCAAATTGCATTCTATCGGGTTGTGACACAGAGAAGGTAAAGAGTAAAATAAATTAAATTTAGGAGGATAAAAATAAATTAAATTTGATGAAAATAATTATTATATTAATAAATAAACAAGTAATGGTCCACCTAAGAACTCCTGCAGAAAACAGCACATGTAGGCAGCGGCAATGCAAGGCAATTTTTTCTTGTGGTGAGCCAATGTGTGAATAAGCTCCAAATGAGCTTTCTGATCGGGTAAAACACTAATTGGTGTTTCCTTTTACCACAGACTTTGCTCCATTTTTCTCTTGAATGAGGTGTAGAAATGGAACCCATTACTAATAGACTTACATCCCATCCAGGGGGGAGTAGCAGTGCTCCTACTTTGTAGCTGCCGTTAATAGGGAAGTGCTCTTGCAGCATCAGCCCCAGTTGCTGGTAGTGCACCTTTTTTAAGGTTTCTCTAAGAGCAGAGCCCTGCTAATAGTCTTATTGTAGCATACTTTTAGGAAAAACTGATTATTTTGCACTTGGCATTTTCATTCCTAGTACTGATGCTACACCTACCACTGCCGAAGAACCTGCCTCCACACCGACAGAAGCAGTGTCGACTTCGGATCAGCAGTCATTTACACAGCAAGCTGAGTCTACGCTTGGTAGGTGGAACTTTCTGTGGTTTTTACAGTTGTAGGTTTTAAAAGTGTTAATTTGTGTTAGAGTTTTCTTATCTTACCTTAGAGTTAGAAAAACTGATATTGATTATTTTGTCAAATAATTATGTTATTGATAATAGTTCACATCATTTTTTACTACCCAAAACAGGGGAATAGTACCCATGATAATTTCTATTTCCACATTCAAGTTTTAAAAATAAGACATGTTGAATAATGGTCATACACAGCACAAAATGTATCTTGTATTAGTTCTTTAGTTAAAAAAAGTGCCATAAAGATGGTCTGTAGCTTTGCAAAGGATAAAAACTTTTGCCACATGCATCAGCTTGAGCTGGTATACCTGAAACTTCCAATTTATTATACCCCACCCACTTGTAAGCCTCCTTGTATTTACAAGTCCAGGGCTTATAATTGGATGTTTACAGTATTTGTTCATTGTTGTGCAGATACAAGGCCAAACACGTAGAGAATGTATTATTCCTTTTAGTGAAAATGCTTTTGCATATAGAGTGGTTAGTGTCTTAAGTGTACATGTATTGCATTCCTTTTTTCAGTTACTGGTGCTGCATATGAAACCATGGTTACGGAGTTATGTAGTTTGGGATTTGAAAGAGACCAGGTAAGATTTGACTACACACAAAGCTAGCTGTTTTGGTTTGAGTAAATCGTACTTTACAATAACAGTGATTGTCATTTGCTGTCTCATTGGCATGTGGTAATAATTGTTATTTTCTGATTATGTGTCCTTAAAAATAGCTCTGTAAGTATTGAAATATCATAGCCAAATTATGCAGACTGAGCGCAATATACCAAAGTTTTAGATTCTCTATAACATTATTTTGTTTTCTTTAGGTTGTACGAGCTTTACAAGCTAGTTTCAACAATCCAGACAGAGCCGCTGAATACCTAATGACTGTGAGTTTCTTTTAGTATAACACTAATTAAATACTAACAATAACCAAACATTGGTGAGTACACAAACACTCTTGCTCTAACATACATACATACTTACAAACATACATAGATACACTTTCTTAGGACTCCTCTACAACTGTATACGGGGCTATTCTGTCATAATATACAATAATAAAAAAATATGCAACAAAATTACAATGGAGCAAAAATATTTACATGTGTTACGAAAAGAAATATTTACGTGAGTTATACAGTTATTATGTATTAGTTATTTGGTAGTAGTTATTAGTCAGGTAAAAGTTAAACTTTTACCTAAGTTTCATGTGATAGAAGGTCAAAACACATGTGATCAGATTATGAGTGATAGAAGTGCCAAACACGTGTGATGAGACTGTGTTCTATGCATTCCATTCTTTGTTAGTGGAAGTCCCAGCAAGTGCTGGCTACATACCTGGCATGCATGCATAATAGCAACCTGACGTTTAGGATTGCAAGCTCTTATGAATACTTAATTTAGTGTTTTGGTCAATACTAAACTTACGTGGTCACTTAGAGTGCGGATGAGTGAAATGTTTTTTAACACCTGAAGGGAAATTTTGTATCCGCACGCAGCCATGTAATACCCTCTATAATTTATATTAATTTTGTGTTTTGCTTAGGGGATACCTGATTTGCCGGCAGAGCCCCAAGCTCCAACTGAACATAGTGAATCACAGGGTCAAGGAGAAGGAGAGGCAGCCCCAGCATCAGCAGGTCTACTTACTGTGTTCATTTACCATGAAAAAATTAAAATTAACAGCGAACAGGAGCATTCTCGACTTTATTAAAATATTATTTGCATTGGAAAAATAATATCAACAAGTGCCTGATCTACAGGCAGCAGTGCTTAATCCAGACAGATAAGTCAGTCAGTTAGTATAGACCTTTTCCAGTGAAGATGGCTGAAAATTTAAATTAAGCTTAAAGTAATCTCGTCAACAAGCCCTCCCTTTTCCAGCCATTTTAAAAGAGGGTCTTGCAGCACTATTTAAGGTTGATCTTGACTTAATTCTCAATGCTTGATTCCTTGGTGTCAGTCGTTGATGGATGACAGAACGCTTCCAAGTCAGGGGCTCTGGCATGAATTTAACGCTGGTGTAGCATATCTGAGAAGAGAAAGGCATGAGCCAAAAGCGACCTTAAAAAGAGCCGATGGAGCAATTTGTTTAGTGTTAGCTTGTAACTGTGCAGTTGCCAGTTGTAAGTTATCACAGCTACCTGAAATGAATAATATTGAACATTTCCAGTGCATGCCTATAACATTTCTTTCTTTTTTTCTTCAAGGAGAAAGTGGCATTGAGTTTTTGCGCAGTCAACCTCAATTTCGGGAACTCAGACGACTAGTTCAACAAAACCCCCAGACCTTACCACAACTTTTACAACAAATTGGACAAGACAATCCGGACCTACTGCAGGTACAACGTATAGTAATACTTCTATTCAACTTGTGGTTTTGGTCCCTGGCATTGCACAGTGATGGGTAACACACACAGGTCTTGTGTGGGTCTTGAAATTCTTATTTTAGTAAGCCTTGGATTTTTTATTGTTATAATAAAGTGTTATTGCATAAAAAGAATAATAAGAGTATTATTAATTTATTGTTATTATTTGTACGTTCTGGATGTTTTTGAAAACCTTGAGACGTCCTGGAATTTTTTGAAAATCTTGGCAAGTCTTAAAATTTTCTATTGTATCCTAGTCATGGAAGCTGGAAGGGTTGAAAGATTGAGGCAAATTAGCCATGTTTTTACTTGTTTGTTTGTTGTTTTAGACCAACTTCAATGTACATATTTTAAGTGAATAATAATATTAAACAAATTCCAAGGGGAGGTTGTTTTCTTCATGAAAGAAAAATGAATATGAAGGAGAAAATGTCCCGAGAATTGGTTTGTTTTAAAGCAAAGCAAAGGTTGTTTTCTCTTCATGAACAATCAATGAATTCGAAAAGGGAAAAATGTCTTGATAATAGTAGTTTGTATAGCCTGCGAAAACATCTGTTTCTCCTCGCTCTTCACCGCTGGGGACGTTTTGCACAGAGGAACGTCTACAACTCAGTGACAGAAATTCCATATTGATAAGGCAAATCAATGTTTAGATAATAAATCCGGTAGTCATGGGGTTCCAAATGTAAATCTGTCCAATTTTACTTGTCTTGTGGTCGATTTTGGAAAAGTGTTGTGTTCATCTGCCAACTAGCTTCAGGAAAACTCAAATGCTTCTTCTAGAGAAGACTATATTACACAAATATTGACTGTTTTATTAGAGATTCTTCTCGTTTACATTTGACCTTTGTGGCCTTTTGTCTTTTGTCTGTCATTCATAAACAATAACTAAAAACAATGTAACTACTCCGTCGACCAATCAGCACTTCTGACCGGGTTTCGGACAGATTTTACATCATCAGTATGGAATTTCTGTCGCTGAGTCGCAGACATTCCTCCACGCGAAACGTCCCCAGCGGCGAAGATCAAGGAGAAAGGGATGTTTTCGCAGGCTATAGTTTGTATTTTCATGAACTAAACAAGAAACTTGTTGTGAATATTCCACAGCTTATAAGTCAACACCAGGAGGAATTTATAGCCATGTTAAATAGTCCCAACGAACCTGGTGATGCTGCTCCACGCGTAGGACCTCCATCAGCACAGGCGTCTGGTCCGGTCCTTTCTGGTCTTTACCAAGAATTACAGTGTCGTGTTCTTTTTCTTCGATAGCTCTCCCATCCTCTTACACAATAAAAACAGTATTGTCACGAGCTTTTTTCATGACGGGTCATCAGGAGGACATGCAGTCATTTTGCTGGGCAAGTAAGTGGTAACCTTTTAATTCCCAGGACTGACCAACAACAGTTTTTTCTTAATATTATCAGTATGTAATGAAGTAGAAAGGTTATGAGAATTTAATTTATGATCACTTAAGGAAATATGCTTTGATCTTTTAACAAATTCGCTCAACTAATTTTTCAAGGAATGTATGCAGGCCAGTGTGGAGAATTTTATGCTGATCTTCGGGCTTAAAGGGTAAAAGCTTACTTGCAGAGTGGGAAGGGGTCCAAGCAAGTCATTTTCTAACTAAATTATCAACTAAGATGAGCAAGAAGTGAGAGCAAAATGTGAGAGCTGCTTGCCCAAAAAACAAACTGGAATTCATTTTTTTTAGCCCTGCATGCTGTGTTTTATGAGGTAATACAGTATAACCCCACGACTAAGAACCTGGATTTGTCCAAGTTGTGCACGGACTGTTTAGGCAGCCAGTTCTGGCTAATGTTAGCGCCACAAACTATTGTTGTAATCTCAAAAATCAAGAGAACTTTCCTGTCTATCCTCCAGGGCCCAGTTGTTCGAAGGCGGATTAGCACTAACCCAAGGTTAAATTTCAACCTGGGTTTATTTTTCTTTTGTTCAAAAGCATTTTCCCGGATAATTTTCTCGATTCTTTTTAGAGCATCCAATCATCAAATTGTAGGCAAAAAGAATAAAACTGATTTTCTTTTTAAGCTTTCATATCTGAGTTCAAATTTTGTACTAACCCTGAGTTATCTTAACCCTGCTTTGAACAACACAGCCCAGGAACATTATTTTTAACATTGCATAGTTGTTGCAGTTTCTTCACAGTTCATCAGTGGATAATTGTGGTTCTTCCCACATTTGTTGAGGTTTTCATAGATCAACCATCAATTTTATTGAACCTTGTTCCCAGGCTCCCTCTCTCACTCCAGTGGACGAGTAGGAAAGGAGCCTGGGAACAAGGTTACCATTAATCTCACATGTAAGTTGTTAAAGGTGCAGTCACAGTGGGATTTCAGCAGACCAGGCCAGGAAAGACCAGAAATGGTTCTTAATGTCACAGCACAAGAAAAAGAAGCTATCGAGAGGGTAGGAGAATGTGTTATTTTTGTCATAACAGTGCTCGAAAAAAGTACTGCCCAGTAGTCCGGGACATGCAGTCATTTTGCTGGGCAAGTAACTTGTAACCTTTTAATTCCCAGGACTGACCAACAACAGTTTTCTCTTAATATTATCAGTATATAATGAAGTAGAAAGGTTATGAGAATTTAATTAATGATCACTTAAGGGAATATGCTTTGATCTTTTAACAAATTCCCTCAACTAATTTTTCAAGGAATGTATGCAGGCCAGTGTGGAGAATTTTTATGTTGATCGTCGGGCTTAAAGGGTAAAAGCTTACTTGCAGAGTGGGAAGGGGTCCAAGCAAGTCATTTTCTAACTAAATTATCAACTAAGATGAGCAAGAAGTGAGAGCAAAATGTGAGAGCTGCTTACCCAAAAGACAAACTGGAATTCATTTTTTTTAGCCCTGCATGCTGTGTTTTATGAGGTAATACAGTATAACCCCCAACTAAGAACCTGGATTTGTCCAAGTTATGCACAGACTGTTTAGGCAGCCAGTTCTGGCTAATGTTAGCGCCACAAACTATTGTTGTAATCTCAAAAATCAAGAGAACTTTCCTGTCTATCCTCCAGGGCCCAGTTGTTCGAAGGCGGATTAGCGCTGACCCAAGGTTAAATTTTAACCTGGGTTTATTTTTCTTTTGTTCAAAAGCATTTTCCGGATAATTTTCTCGATTCTTTTTAGAGCATCCAATCATCAAATTGTAGGCAAAAAGAATAAAACTGATTTTCTTTTTAAGCTTTCATATCTGAGTTCAAATTTTGCACTAACCCTGAGTTATCTTAACCCTGCTTTGAACAACCCAGCCCAGGAACATTATTTTTAACATTGCATAGTTGTTGCAGTTTCTTCACAGTTCATCAGTGGATAATAATATTGTGGTTCTTCCCACATTTGTTGAGGTTTTCATAGATCAACCATCAATATTATTGAACCTTGTTCCCAGGCTCCCTCTCTCACTCCAGTGGACGAGTAGGAAAGGAGCCTGGGAACAAGGTTACCATTAATCTCACATGTAAGTTGTTAAAGGTGCAGTCACAGTGGGATTTCGCTAGGAACTAGTGCCTGTAAATTAAAATTGATGGTTTGAAAAATGGCTTTCTGGGTTGATGGTTAAAAATTTTGAATACAGAAATTGTTATGATTTTTATCTTGGTTAATCTTTTTCGGCAGAAGGCATTTTGTTAGGAACTGTTAATTTCACCTCCTTTTAATGCTTTCATATTTTTATCCACAGCTAAAAGCCCTTGGATTTGCGGAAGCTTTAGTCGTCCAAGCCTACTTTGCATGTGATAAGAATGAACAACTGGCTGCGAACTTTCTACTCAATACAGGAGATGATGACTAAAATAATCTTTACCGTAAAGTCTTTTTGTTCATTTGGCCATATACTTCATTTTAATTAAAAGGTTCACTGTTAACTGGAATGACTAGAAAGGAGCTCTTCTGTCTCCTTAGTTGATTTTGTATTTTGCTGGCTCAGTAGAGAGTGTAATAGTTATAATAAATTTGCTTTATTTATGATAATTGAAATAATTATCATATAATGATAGCAATTTTAGTTTTCTGATAATGATTGTGGTATGGCTATGAAAACATCACTGTCTTAAACTGCTCTCAACTTTTATGTTGTCAATAATTGAGAGAAACTGCTCTAGCATAACGGATTTTCCAGTCTTGTTCATAAGAGTAGTATTATATAGAGTATCAGTACGAGTAAAACCCGGTCGGGCTCAGATTAAAGGTAAAAAAAACAATTTGTGTCACAATTGTGTCACGTGAGCTGATGGACCAATCAAATGCGAGTATACAATGACTGCCTGTTTCAAACCATCTATAGACTGTGTAATTAATGTCTTGCTGACTTGGCTTATTCCCTCGCTTTTATGGCCGAGTGAAAAAACTCTCTATCCGTAAGTTACGCTGCGGTTAACTAAGGGGAATGTATGTTTTTTTCCCCAAGAAATTGTCGCTTTTTCTAACTGTCGTTGATTGAAACTAAGCGCGCGTTATTAGACGTGATATGGTTCACCCCAAAAAAGCGTGGAAACTGAGGTCAACTTTTGGGGGGGTGGAAGGGTAGGATTTGGTGACATGTTTTTGTACAAGCCAGGCAAGCTATCACAGATGTGAAAGTCTCCAACAGAAAGTAAAGTAATTATGGTCGCCAATGGTGTGAATGATAGGTTTTTTCCTGTAGAAAACATGTTTAAGGTTATCAAAGTGAAATGTAGTTGAACTAGTGGTTTTAGCTGAGCATTAATTTCTTGCCTGTATAATTCCCTATTTTAAGATTGCGTTATGATTAAGCTATGGGCACGGGCAGTCCCTTTTTTAACTGCAATGTTTTATTTCGTGATCAAATCGTTTGGATATTGGTATTAGTCTAAACACTGTCTAAAACAGGACAATCTGAGAAACTGTTGCTCTAGAGAAAAGCAGAAATAAAGTCAACAGATACCTGAATTACTGTAGAGTTTAACTAAAGCGTCGTGTCCTTTTAACTCAAAGATGATGTTGGAGCCCTAACACTTTGCAAAAGCAGCTCGTCGGGTTTATTTGTTTAGCGTGTGGTGAATATCGTTTATACACACATGATGATAAAGCAATTTTTTTTCTTCACATCCCTAATTCGGAGACCTCTGAGGAAAGGAAAAATATCCCACAAGAGTATAAAACAAGTGAGAACCATTCGTCTGTCAAAAACCTAAACATATGTGTCGATTTGTTTTTTTTTTTCAAGCCCCAAACTCATTCCCACAGATCGTTCCCACAGTCTTCGTCACCCTTGACCAGCCGAACTACCCGTTCCGCTGGACAAGGGCAACGCGGACTCTGGGAACGATGTCGTGAAATGATCATAACTAAGTGCGCATGCCCATAGTGTCACATCCGATAAAACTTTTGATTTGTCCTCAATCTCAACCCAGAGCTCTTCTGCGCATGTAGAGGAGGGAGATAACGCTCATCACCAAATAAAGGCTTGAATTTCCGAGCCAGTTAAAAGAGCAAACGAGAGAGTTCCTTATTCTTTATTTCTTTCACTTAAATGTTGCTTTAGTTCAGCCCTCAAAGTAACACTTTCGTACCATTCCTGAACTGTAAAGAAATCCCTCACCAAATCTTTACGTCCTTTACCCATATATATATTTTTTGAACAAATACGTTTAGTGTCTTACAAATTGAGGGAAAAAATAAATAAGTCAGTTGTAACTAAACTCATCCCCAATCGATTCTCTTCATATTTAAATTCTAGTGTTTTCCGCGGGCTGCTATAAAATATTTCTTTTTGCTATATTTTGTTTATTTATTTGTTTGTTCTTCATAGAAAATCTCCTTTTTCTCCGATACAAATCACGTGTTCTTCTCCTCTTCAACAAGGTCCCAGACCTTATTCAATACCCGTTTGCAGTATCGAAGTCTCTCAATCATTTCCTCTGTGCAACCCTGTGAGTTAATTTCTGACATGAGGTAACTTGTCCCTTCTCTCTGCTTATCGATGTAAATAACTAGAACATCGCTGTTGCCAGGAATAAGTACTATCTTGGTGTGGTCGTTGAAGAAATTTACCTTGCAAGGGAAGAGTATACGGGTTTGATTGAATGTCAATTAAACCAATGAACATTAGACTAGCAGAATATTAATAGGAAGAAATTGCACGATGACGAACTTTTACTTCAACTTCTAGAATCCTTTAGTGTGTTGTTTTCTTGTGCAAATTTAGGGCTACTGTTTTTTAAAGCCCAGCGGGATTGAAAATAAAGCAAAACGAAGTGAATTCTCAGGTAGTTGTCGTCAAATCTCGTCATCGTGAAATGGCCCATGGACTACCTGTATGGTTCCGTTGCTAAGATACATAACCATCGTGATGTCTGTTCTAAACCAGATGTCTACGAACGGATAGCTCGGCTGATCAGCGGAAATTCCTCCTTTGGAATCGCCACCCTGTTAAAGAATTTGACAGTGTTTGAAGATGTTATGATCCAAGTCAGTTAGAATAAATATCAACATAATTTGATCCTCTTCCTGAGACTTTTTACTACCTTCAAATGTACAAATCACCTTCACTGCATTAGAGGTCTTACGTATATACAATCATGTAAACAACGTCAGACCTTGTATGGAAACAGGGCTACGAAACAGACTGCTTCAAGTTTCGCTGTTTTGCCTCTCTCCCCCGCAGAGGTTTCTTTTTGTTGTGGGGAGGTTGGTGAGAAAGAAATAGAGAGCGCGCGGGGCACGATGGGAAGGGGAAAGAGAGGAGAGAGGCTCCCGCCTTTTCCCTCTTCCCATCGTTCCCCGCGCGCTTCTATTTTTCCATTATTGCTATAGGCAGGGAGCTTCTGCGGAGGAGACAGCTGTTTTTCAATAAACTTGGTGAGAGGCAGAAAGCCAGGTTTCCATGTTCTCTACTAGCGCATTTTCCCTTCCAAAATTTTGCATTTATAATCATTGTTTTCAATATCTCTTAGGACGAATGTAATACCCAAGAGAACTTAAAACTAACAAAGGTTAAGCAAAGTTTTGGAGGGCAAACAAGGTATTATGACAAATGCGGAAATGGCGAATGATTAGGTTCTGGTGCGTGGTGTGTTTCGCACGGTTTCATTGGCAAACGTCCTTGGATAAATGAAGTTTAAAGTTTACATCTGAGAGACGCGTATTAGTGAAACTAACAAACACGTTATTTGAAATGAACGGTCTTATACCTTTAACAAATGTTTGTCCATGTAATTAGCAAAGTAAGTCAACAGCATGTACTTTGCCTGTAGATTGGTTGGTACGGCGTTAGACCTGAACTGACTTGGGTTATTTAGTCGATCACAATAATGGACAAAGCTGTCAAGAAAAAAAATAGAAAGAAAGAAATCCCAGTTGGCAACGAACATTCGGGTGTTCGCAAAATGGTCGTGTAAATCGGTCGTCAAATGTGTTCGTACAAGAGTCTGATGACGTCGATTTCTGAAATCTGTTTCGATACGATTTACTTTTAATAGTATCAAAAACAATTCAAAACATTCAACGGCAATTCAAAACATTGACGTAATTGACCAATCAGGTCAATAACCAGAGTACAATACCATTAACTGACGTGATACAACTCCCTTTGACTCTGAAGATGACTACCGCACAGGTTGTCAAAGCATCAGTCACTGTTAACAACAATAGTCCTATTCAGGACTACATTCACCCGGACGATCAAACTCAACCTACTTTTGATTGAATTATAGTCCATTTTCAAGTTGCCCAAAGCCTCTTTTTGAAAACGAGGGTCAGTGCGAGCGAGGTCTTTGAGAATGGGGGTTGACCTAATATGACTTAAATGACACATTATTTGAACTTCATCGCTATACTAAAGCTGCTCGCAATTTCAATCTCCTTCATATCAAACCCTTCTGTTAAGGATATGGAAATCAGCAATAAGAGGGAAATGCCCTAGCCTTGACATGCACAATTCTAAGGCGAAATATCTGTTTCGATATAACCACTAAGAAAATGACCGAGAAATTCATCGCACTTTTGTTGAAAGAAAACGTACACTCACCTTTTACCAGGGGATATAGCAATTTTCGAGCCGTCGTTAAACCTCACATTAAAGCTTCCATCCGATAGCTGAGCACCAAACCCGTACTTATTGCTATAATCCACCCACTTGGTCACCAATAAGGGCTTAAGATCGTCGTGTGTTTGTATCCCCCCTGATTTCTTTCCATTTCCTTGTGGCTGACAGGAGGGGTTCTTGGCAAAAAGTCCCAGTGGCTTGACAGGAAGTTTTTGTTCACTTTCTTCTAGGCATTCGAGACACTTGGACAGTTTACAGATGAGTTCGTCTGGCGGAAAGTATTTGGGCTTAGGGTGACCTAAATAGGAACGAACAGTGAAAGGTCATCACTTAGATTCATGGAAAGCTCGACAATTAAACATCTTAGACATTTTGACAAAAGCTCTAGACAATAATCATAGTTGTCATAGCCACACCCATAGGTAATGGATTGACATTATTGTTGGACTTTTCTATGACTCCTGTATGGTGAACACGCCCGTGAAGACTGGTTCGGTTTTGTGTCGAATTGCCAGCCTCATCCCCAGGCCAATTCACGCTATCCGAGTGAGCATAGGAGGCTTGGAACCGAACGCGAATATTCCTTACAAGCTTGACGGGTGACGTCACTTCCCGAACGACTAGTTAATGAGGCTGTCGAATTGCTTGTGTTATTTTTTTAGGGAACGCCTAATGTCCTCTTATTTTATACGTATATCAATATCGTAGATCAGAGGTCATCTTAGAGCACTAGCTGCGCCCCAATTGCAACCCCTAACAAAAATTTCCTATGATGCAATTGGACACGACACTGGCACATTTGCGCAACGATAAAGAGTGAGCGAGAGAAGGAAGTGTAGAAGAGAACCTGGGAACGAAGTTGCTTTCTTGTCCCGTTTCTCGATAACAGCCTACCTTCTTGTCGCGTGTCCCGTGTTTTATCCCGAGGAGTGGAACTGCTTTGACTTATTCCCCTATCTTTTTCAGAAGGAGACACCAGTTTGCCTCCGCATTCACCGTTCATTTCTTTCACTCGACAGTCTTTTTCCATTGTTTCATCCTTTTCGTCGCTCGCAAGCTTCATTTGCCGGGACAAAGCAATTGTTATTTTCTTAATCGCGTCGTTGGAAATTTTCTTGTCAGATTCTCCGCTTTTTTCATACTCGGACCATTTCGGCGAGGAGGTGACACATGTACCTGGGAGTCGGTTCGGAAAAAATCCCTTCGTGAAAAATTCGTCGGCAAGAATTTCCTTTAAAGAGGGCCTGTCAGCGGGGTTCGGTTTGAGCATTCTTTTAATAAGCTTAGCAGCGTTGTCTGAAATACGCGAGGGAATGGTATATTCGTTGTTTCGTATTCTGTTGTAGGTCTCTCGCAGCGACTTTGTTTCAAACGGGGGATGCCCAACCAACAAAGTATACCTGTGAAAGAAGAAGAAAGAACTACAGTGACAAGCGAACACGTTGGAAAGTTTAGGCTTCACAAGAAACTTGGGAAAAGAAAGTGATGACTTTCTATGTGACTTACATGACGCATCCTAGAGCCCAAGTATCCACTTCATAACTATGGCCTTCTTTACTTAACACTTCAGGTGCAATGTAGTTTGGGGTACCACACATCGTCCTGAAACAAAAATGAACGCAAAGAACTTTATACTTTGGTCGTCATGCAGTGCTCTGTGATGATGATTATGATTGTTGCCATCCCTTTGCAACGATGAAATAAAGCCTTTGAAGCCACAATCTGTTTGCGCACATTTTAACAAGGGAGTAATCTACACTGTTTCTTTTGACATAAAAGAAGTCTTAAAGTTATTAAAGTCAGCTCCAGCTCGGTTAGGAACCTATAATTCGTCTCAGAAATTCTATGAACATAGTTATCTAATTAGCTTCTGTCTTTTGTGGATTGTGTCTCTTTGCTGGATCCCATACGTTGCTAGGTTGTGGGTTTTCCTTTGCAGTAGATCGCTAACAAAGGAGTGTGTCACTTGGGCGTATTCGCCAGATCTACCATATCCACGCAAGTTTTTGTGCCAAAACTTAAATCGCTGGGATCTTGATCCCTATTAAAACTGGGATTTCTCATAATCCCGCTAAAGAATGAATTTACGATTTCGGAATTTCAACAGAATTTTCTCAAAGAAATATAGCATGCGTGGCTGGCGATTGTGTCTTGTGAGCGCACAAATGAGCGGGAAAGCTACGAAAAGGCACGCGAAGAGCCGCCTCTTTGTCTAGTTCTCGCCATTGCCCCTCCCCTTCATAACTGCCTCACTTACTTTATCTTTTTCTCTTCTTCCTTTAGCCTCACTGCCAGACCAAAGTCTCCAAGTCTCAATTCCATGTCGGCATTGAGAAAAAAGTTGCCGACTTTAATGTCGCGATGTATGACCCGCTGAGCGTGCAGATACGAGCATGCTTGAACAGCTTGGAACATAAGATACCGTACCTCGGGTTCTGTGAGCTTGCCACGATTTTTGAGAGTCTGTACTAAGGACTGTGCAAAGTAGGAAAAAAACACAAGTAAGCTCTCCATTTCGATCAGTACGTTGATTACGCCAAACGCCCGGGGTCAACGCCACATACGAGCCGTTGTAGCCGGGTTGTTTAATCTTGGTTTTTCACCCTTGTTCCGTGGGGTTTAAAATCCGAGTGGAGCTCCGGTTATCCCTTACCGAATTCCACTGCAACAGCATGCAAGTATTCACAAAATCATCGTTAATTTCTCATCAATTTATTTATTAAGAGACTGGCCTCCTCCCACAGTTTCCAAAATTAAAAAGAGTAAGCAGCCTTTTGACTTATAGATAAAACAAAAACAACAACAAAATATATTTTTTGCAGTAAACTGAAAACTGCTACAGTCTTAAAGTGACTCTAAATTATGTTTACCGGTCGTTTCGATACAAGTTTATTCAGTCGAGGTGTAAATAAGACTTGGCTTAAAAACGACGAGTATTCACCCAAAATGTTATTCTTGTTCACGCACAAACTATACTTGAAGTGAACACAATTTCTGTTCAACTACTAGCATAGTCTGCTACACAGCCGTTTCTAGAGTCGTCACGCAACGCTCCTCCCCACTTCTAGGGAGGAGCTTTGCGTGACGACGCTAAAAACGGCTGTGTAGCAGACTACTACTAGCATCGAACCGACCGTTTTCCTTATCATTACCTTACGGCTGCAGTGTTCCAATAATATATAAACATGCTGCTCGTCCTCGAAATGACCATGAAAACCAACTACGTGTCTTTGACGAAGACTCTTGTGCAGCTCGATTTCTGTTTCGATCTACAAAGGAGCATATTTCACGTGTGAACTACAGGAACGATAGAGATGTTGAGAATTAACACTTCACTAAGGGCAGTCATAAGCGCCAAGTAGGTTTAGTTATCTCCTGTCCAGATCTCACTCTTTCTGTAAGTCTGAAAAGTGGTCTGGGCAGGAGGTTAAGAATTTATACTTCGCGTCCGCGTGCACTTGCTATATGCATGGTCTCTGCTTCTTGCCGGAAAATAGCAGTTTGTTTGAATAAAGATCAACACGGGGGACATAAGCTACATTTCGCTAAACGGTAGATCTTACCTTGTTGTATCTATCCGCAGATTTTGAGAGTTTTACTTTTGGCACAGCTTTGAGAGCGTATACTTTGTTCGTTGACATGTCTGTGACTTCATAGACACGAGCGAACCCGCCCTGAGTGTCAAAACAAACACATTAGAACGAGTTTAATTGTTATGATCGCATAGCTGAACTGTAACACTTTCCGAGGTGAAAATGACCACTATTAGTTAAAAAAAAAAGGTGAAAAGAAATTTGCTAGCTATTAATGGTCAGAACCAGTTTATTATATTGCAATAAAGCGTGTCTCCTAAGTCAAATGAGTGCTCTAGTGGGTGACCGGCACCAGCGTGCGCAAGTAGTTAGGACATTATTTATGTGAAAGAAATATACAATGGGCTGGACAAGGTGCCTCTTTTTGACACTTCGACAAAAAAAAAAAAACACTCTATTCATGCTGGTGAATAATGGGTATTTGGCGATCTTACACTATCGCAAAAACAAAAACGGCAGAGTAACTGTATAAATATAAGCAAAAGCGACTGAATAACTCAAGCAGTCGGGAGTGTTGTAACAATTTCGCCTAAGTGTGATTTCGTAGCCTGCGCTAGGGAAGTTTTCACCCCTCCTGGCGAAACGTCCCAAGCGACGAGGAGCGTGGAGAGCCGACTGCTGTTTGTTCACAGGCTACGTATTACCAAACAAGTTTGCTGCAACTTATGCTGCTTGCAGGTATGTCATACAAAAGATATGCAACCTAAATCTTTTCTTTTGGTGTTAGTTATTAGAGAAAGCAGGTGGGAAAGATCCAAGTAAGCTATAAGCACGCTAGTATTGCATGCATTACCGAATAATAACTTCTTTCTCCTTACGCAAACGAAACAGTTTCCGTTGTGAGTACAGAAATTAGCCAACTGAACCACAAAAACCTGTTCAAGAACATGGGTGGAGACCCCATCTACAGTTCATAATAAGAAAAACAAACAACGACTGCGCTTTGGACTTTTTTTTCCTTCCTTTTCCGATCTCTGATCGCTACTTTACGTTTATTCAATTATTGAAGTTGTGTTTAATAATATCATATCATTAATTCGACAACATCTTGGTCAGCAACTCCTGAAAAATATTACACATAAAATAAGGTGCCGTGACACACAATTTTCCCGGAAAATTCACTCGAAAGATCAGTATCCAAGGACGTGCAGCAAATGACAAGTTAACTACAATTTTTCTCGCTTTAATTTGAAAATCAGCTCTTTAAGCAATTATTTCAGATCGACGATTTTCATGAACAGATTTGAGACAGTACTACACACTGAGTGAATGTAAGATGACGGAGGACGGACAGCTTTGTAAGATAATACAGCTCTATAATTTTCCATTAAAATGGCGTTTCGGATGTTTATCTACAGGTACAAAAGATAGATGAAGCGGCGTTAATGTAATGATTAAGTCTAACAAAAAAATATACGGCACAATACCAACCTTTCCAAGCAATCTGCCTCGAAAGTATCTTTTCCCACTTCCGTTGTCTATGACTTTTGGTACTTCCGGTAAAGGTATATCTTTAGCATTTCTTGACTTCTTTAGCGATCGATCCGCTGTAGATTTATGAACCGCTGGCTGTGGAACAAAATTTGTTGTTAGAGTTGCCATTTTTACTGATCCCAACCTTCAGTACAAGAGCGTTTTCTTAACTGTAAACTCTCTAGAGTATTAAACTATTTTTCAAGACATGTTTTCTCAACGAACTGCCAAGATACCTGTTAATGCTTCGCGCTGATTGGTTGACACAGATTCCACGTTAACCGTCATTGTGTGATGCGAGTACACGTGTTTAGCGCGCGTCAAATTCTGTGCGCGCGCTCTTAACTGAGCTGCACCCACAGTCAATTTCAGCGGTTACGCGATCACTTGAGAATTATTTTTGAACATTGGTTTTCAAGGGCTTTTTTCGGAGATTGCGGCCTACCAAAAGGTCAAAAATACACTAAAGCCCAGTAATCAATCGTATTCTTAAATTATGTATTTTTCCAGGAGCCCAGATTTGTTTAAAAATATTTTTTGCATTCCCCCAACAAGCTTAAATTACCAGTACGTTCTTCGTTTTGCTTCGTTTTGAAAGAAAACACATATATACTACATGAACTTGTTTAACCATCAAGCAAAGAAGGCACAAAAGATATATGATTAGCCTCAAGCGGAGCCCTTCCCTACCGCCCCCCAACCCTAGCCTGCGCGCAGACGAAATTAAACTCTGGTTAACTCCGTCTGCGAAACAGCGCCGAAATCCTTGTTCTGGACTTCCAGCTGTGTACCCAGATTTGAGAACGCGCCACAATTGGCCAGTTAAAAAAGGCCTTTGTTTTGTTTGTCGTGATCGCCAATCAGGTTGAAGGGAAATTCGAAACGCACTTCCGGTAATTCGTTGAGTCCGTTGGGGGTTCAGAACAAGGATCTGTGCGCTGCTTCGCAGACGGTACTAATCAGAGTTTAGTTATCGTCTGCACGCAGGCTACCCAACCCCTACCTCGGAAGAAAATTACTCTTTGAGGAAGGAGTGTTTCCGTTGTGTGCTTCCTCATTTGCGCTCACTCGAAATATTTAAGGAGGAAACATTTCGTGCTTCCGGATGGCAAGAGATGTTTCTGAGGCTTTCAGAAACCTTTTGTTTCCGTGAAAATTGTTTGCCATTTTGTGCGTGAACAAGGCTCAGATTGGGTTTCATCTTGTTGTTATCATTAACTCTTACGCGGCCAAACCAATTGAGAAGGCTGGAAGGAGAACACTTCCAAATCGCGCCTAATCCTGCAAGAGAGCTCTCTTGAGCTCTCTTGGGGGGAGGGAGATTGGGGGGGGGGGGGGAGGGGGGGAGGGGGCGGTGCCCCCCCTCCCCGTGTGTGAGAGGGGGGCCCCTTGGGGCCTTTTACAAATTTTCCCCAAAAAGAGGTTTTAAAAAATTCCAAAATTTTTACCGCTTCCTCAGTTGTATGAGAGGGGCACCTTCGGGACCTTTACAAGTATTCGCCTAATAGAGGTTTATAAAAATTGCACAATGTTTGTTAACGATTAACATCCAACGGTTACCCTGTATTGTGATAAAGTTCCATGTTGTTAAGGAAGCTTAGGAAGCTGTGCTGTACTTTGTACAAGACTTTTAGGTGAACTTTGATCTCGGATGACAATCATACGGGCGGATATCGGTCCAGTCTACAGTTTATTGACAGCTAAATGTATTGATTTGTCTTGATTTTAAAAAATCGACTACACTACGACTCAATTGACAATAGTAGTATTAGATTACGTTCTTGAAATATGTATTGTAGTCGAAAAATAAAGATAAATCAATACATTTAGCTGTCAATAAACTGTAGATTAGACCGATATCCGGCCATATGATGGTCGTCCGCGATCAAAGTTCACCTTAATGTCTTGCACGAAGTACAACAGAACTTCCTTAGCTCCTTTATAGCTAACAACATGGAGCTTTATTACAATACAGAGTAACCGCCGAATGTTAATCATTAACAAACGCCGTCTTTTATCGGACAGTTAGGAAGGTCCCTTGTCCGCTTAATTAATAGAGGTTTCACTGCTCTACTATTGTCAATTCAGTCCGATGTCTGCTTTTTAGAGGTAGTAAACAATAAAAATTAGCCAAATACAATTTATTTTAGTGTCCACGTCCGCTTAATAGAGGTGTCCACTGAATAAGGGTTCGTTATAAAGGAAAATATAAGACGTTAATTTCGGGACCCGGCTTAGTGTTCGCTTAATAGAGGGTGTCCGCTAATTGGGGGTCAGTTTAATAGAGGTTTTATTGTAGCTGCAGTGGTACCGGAAATCGTACGTGTCAACAAGACTACCGTATTCCGTATTGGGACAGGAAGATCTGAGGAACCACTAAGACATTCCAGAAACAAGTTTTATGCTAGTAGACCGAATGTTTAGAGGGGACATTATTCCAAAAAACAAAACGTGATATATAGAGAGAAAGAGAAAAATTTATGATCATGTTCACAGCACAAAACCTAATTATAAGATATATTCCTTATCTTTGTGCTCTCATTCCCCCCGCTGCATTTGACCTGTCTTCCCAAGCTCACTGTGAAAAGAACTTGGAATTGATATCTTGCTTATTTTTTGATCTGTGAATAGCAGTCCGCGCTGATTCCCGAGCAAATCGGAGCCGTCTTGTATGCGAAGGTGGATCATCAATTTGAGAGATCGAAGAAATGAAAATCTGTTTTAAAAAAATGCTCCCGCCTCTAACTTAGATAAGGTAGCGGCACACTTCATGGGACAAATCATCCCGCAGTTAGCATTTGTCGGCCAACCTGTTACACTAGGACCTCACGTTAAGAGAATCTGAGAAAGGCAGAATTAACATCACTGAATCTTACCTTTGAAAGTTTATCAGCTTCACTTGTGCTGTCGTTTGTTTCAATCCCCGAATCCATGACTTTAAAGTCACAACACCGTCGAATTATATCTATAAGTCGCAGCGCCAACGCAATGTTTCAAAATTTCGTTGAGGCCGCATCTTCAGTGTTACCAACAGTGATTTTTGTCTCCCGTTACAGCCAACTAATGCGTGTCATTTTAATTTTAGATATTCCGGTGGATTATATCCTTGACAAATGGTAAAATAACAGCAATGTTTTCCTAGTCCATAAAAAAAACATCTATACACGTTTCAAACCCAGAAGTAAATCTTTGTCATGCCGGAAATAACACTGATTCACGCTACCCGCCGCCACCAGTTGAGTCTGGTGACGTCACAGGATCGAGTGTGTAAATAGATTTTTTTCAGTGTCACGCGTTGCGCTGGTTTCGATTTTTTTTGTCCGAGAGTCTAATACGGTCGAACCCCTCCTTACAGATATGTCAGGAACCTGAATAAGCCTATAAACACTTTTATCACGGACAGTTAAGAAGACTGATATCAAAGATAGTGAACGCTTAGACTACGAGTAGTCCCCATTTNAATGGTAAAATAACAGCAATGTTTTCCTAGTCCATAAAAAAAACATCTATACACGTTTCAAACCCAGAAGTAAATCTTTGTCATGCCGGAAATAACACTGATTCACGCTACCCGCCGCCACCAGTTGAGTCTGGTGACGTCACAGGATCGAGTGTGTAAATAGATTTTTTTCAGTGTCACGCGTTGCGCTGGTTTCGATTTTTTTTGTCCGAGAGTCTAATACGGTCGAACCCCTCCTTACAGATATGTCAGGAACCTGAATAAGCCTATAAACACTTTTATCACGGACAGTTAAGAAGACTGATATCAAAGATAGTGAACGCTTAGACTACGAGTAGTCCCCATTTTCCCTCAGGGATAGTAGAGCGAGCGAAACGCGAGCACGCGTGAAAATCACCTCACGCGAGAAAGGCGATACGCGGCGGTGAGATGGAATGTTCAAGCTCCTGCTCTATGGCAGGAGCTCCTGTCTATGGTGATAACCAAGTCGGCGAATAAGTGATCATGATCAGGCGACAGGGGTACAGGAAAAAAGGGAATGTAAGCAGTCATGCTTTCCTTCGTATTAACTCAGGCAACCCTGCTCTCGGGAAATCAACCTCGTCCCTAGGGCGCTTTTAATTAGAATTCAACCCGTTAACTCCTGCCCGAAAGAAGACAATTCTAGGCGTGGCTCAGACTATAAAGGAAAACCTCACTGAAACAGATAACAAAATAGCAAACCTGTAATCAACACCACTTGGTGAGACGACAAGGATCTCGCCGTCTGCACCCTTATCGTAGTACGTATCCCTTATGCCTTAAGAAAACAGTGGCCTGTTCAGGGGATACTTCCTGGTAGTAGGCCAATGGATACGTGCCGCTGGATGGGGTCGCAATTTCACGACTGGAGTGACTATATGGGGTTGTATTTTTATAAGAGTTACTAGAATAGGGTAGCACATTTTCAGGATTTTGGGGGTCAGAAAAATCAGGTCTGTAGGGATTTTAAGCTAGAAATTGACTAAGATTGGGTCTATAATATGGCCACAGAATAAACTGTGGGGTAGGGGTTTTGAGAGGCCAGCGGCACATACTCAGCAAAGATTAACCCAAGTAACCCCCGCCGGGGGTCTGTTACCCCAGATCACGCAGGCGGCTGTTATTTTCGCTTGGCTTGTTTTATTTTCGCAACGTCCCTGATATCTGAGAGCCTAGGGGCACAGACTAAGAAGACACCATAACACCATCGCAAGGATTGTGATCATAAAGTGATCATTATGCTTGGCCTGAGTATCAGGCGTTTCTGAAGAAAAGGTGAAAGATGGAAGCGAAAAAGGGATCTCCTCTCCCCTATCCCCTTAGGAAGGCCTGGTACTCAGGCTACATGATGCTTGCTTTAAGGTGGCTCGACTGGATTTTTTTAGGGGGATACCTCCCAAGTTTGAGCCTTAACTACGTCGGTATAAAGATATGGAAAAAAGGTTACCACAACTGTATTACATAAATAAAGATGAAAATTTCTTATGATGTGGGTTTTATTGCAATCGGAGTCGCCATGGCAACGTAATGACGCCATTACGTTTTTCATTTATCGTTGTGTTTTTCTGTACCTGGAGTTTTTTGAAGAAATCGCTTAAGGGAGTATGTACCTGCCATAATTGCCTCCATTACGGCAAAGTTTGAAGAAATTCTATGAGAGCGTTTTCGAGATATTTCGAAATGCAGTTTTAAGAATCATAAAAACAGTGAAATAGCATGCTAGCCGCACAATTTGCTAATATTTTAAGAAAATGATAAGCTTTGAGAACGCGGCTTCATCTCATAGTGGATTGATTCCTTTTAAAACTGCATACAAAAAAAGAGGGGGAATTGCTCTGGGCGATCGCGAGTAAGAAGAATTTCATCAACTTGCATTCAGCTGCTTTTGATACAGTTTTTGGAGGTAATTTGGTCCATGCCTAAAAAATTCGCATTTTTCCAAAAACCGCTCGATAAATTTTTTTATAAATTCGATAATCCCGAGATCAATCGTCAAGAAATATTCCCTGCGAGTTTTAAGAACATTGAAAACAGGGAAGGCTTTTAAATAGGGCCTCAAATGTAGCCAATTTTCCCCCCAGATTTTGTGTTTACAAGCGAGCGTCCTCATTATTCACTGGCATTGTTTTCAAGTTTCATATACACGTGCACATTTAGCAAAAAGATAGAATTTGCATCAAAAAGGACCCTCGGTTAAATCTCCGGGATATGCTAATTACCGGGTAAAGAGGTTAGTGATACATTATAATATCAGAGCAACTCTTTGTGAGAGTTTCTGTGATGTTTTAACCCGAGTAAGATAATTAAGTATTGCATCCTACACGATGAGCCGTGACGTTCACCGTCTCGGCTCTCACTGCTATCTGTGACGACAAGCCAGTTATTAGCATATACCGGATATTTCTTCGGAAAGTAATCGAGAGTTCTTTTTGATGCAAATTTATCTCTTGGCTAGTTGTGCACGTGCATATGAAACTTGAAAACAATGCCAGTGAATAATGAGGACGCTCACTTGTAAACACAAAATCTGGGGGGAAAAGTGGTTATGTTTGAGTCCCTATTTAAAAGCCTTCCCTGTTTTCAATGTTCTTGAAACTTGCAGGGAATATTTCTTGACGATTGATCTCGGGATTGTCGAATTTATAAAAAAATTTATCGAGCGGTTTTTGGAAAAATGCGAAATTTTTAGGCATGGACCAAATTACCTCCAAAAACTGTATCAAAAGCAGCTGAATGCAAGTTAATAAAATTCTTCTTACTCGTGATCGCCCAGAGCAATTCCCCTCTTTTTTTGTATACAGTTTGCAATGGAATCAAACCACTATGAATTGAAGCCGCGTTCCCAAAGCTTATCATTTTCTTAAAATATTAGCGAATTGAGCGGCTAGCATGCTATTTCACTGCTTTGATGATTCTTAAGACTGCATTTCGAAATATCTCGAAAACGCTCTCATAGAATTTCTTCAAACTTTGCCATAATGGAGGCAATTATGGCAGGTACATACTCCCTTAAGCGATTTCTTCAAAAAACTCCTGGTACAGAGAAACACAACGATAAATGAAAAACGTAATGGCGTCATTACGTTGCCATGGCGACTCCGATTGCAATAAAACCCACATCATAAGAAATTTTCATCTTTATATAATACAGTTGTGGTAACCTTTTTTCCATATCTTTACTCATACCGACGTAGTTAATGCTCAAACTTGGGAGGTATCAACCCCAAAAAATCCAGTCGAGCCACCTTAAAATGCTTGCTTGGTTTTGTTCTCCCCATATCCCCCTTCAATGCCCAGTCGATCGCGTTAGGTTGGGGACTGGAACGGAGTAAATTGATGTACGCAAATCACTCGGAAATCAAGTCAGATTTATTTTAGGAATTTTCCTCGAAAGTGCTATTAGAATTTATTACAGATACCATAAGAGTGAGTAGGCATTATTTTCTTATACGGACAAGTGCATGCTGACCCCCGTTTGAACTTGATATCAACTCTCGAAACGGTTTAGTGAAGAAACTCAGGCGTTCGATTTTGGCCCTTCTCTGTGAAATCATGGTAGATCGATTGGTAGATCGTATCTTCGCTGCAGCTCATCCTCCTCCTCCGCCTCCTCTACCACCACTGCCACCTCCTCGTACTGGAGGAATCGCATTTTTGACGGCTATACGTGAAGGGAAACTGGATGAAGTAAGAAAACAGATTTTCATAGTGGTGTTGTTGTAATATTCAGCTAGCTGCAGCTAACCTCTATTTAAAGGAGCTGTGTCACGAAATTCAGCCAAATTAGGTAATTACAAAATGCCCGTTAAAAAAAAAAAACATTAAAGGAAGGTTAAAATAACGCAACAGATACAACAGATGCCACGGATGGGCAAAACTGAAGAGGATTGAAACGGATTGAAATTATAGGGTTTATGAAAACTGTTCAGCCTAACAATTTTTCAAAGTTGGTCTCTGCTGTTTGCAACTTCAAAAATAATGTTCAGGAGACATATTTGTTTGTCTCGAATCTCTGCTTGTGTCATTTACAAGTAATTTCGTTGCTTACTTTAAGTTCCATAGTGACTGAGGGCTATAGTAATTAAACAAAATCAACTGGACAGCCGTGACACAGCCCCTTTAATATTATTATTAGGCTTAGCTAATAATATTATTTAATTTAGTACTTTGAATCTTTTTATTTATCTAAAAAGGAGGCCGTTTTATCACTGCCTGTTGAAAATTAAGACCAAGGAAATAGCAGAAAAATATATCTTTGCAAATAGGAGAGACTACTGTCAACTCTTTGACACCTTTGAGGTTGGCACAAAATTTCCCTCTTAGAGAAATGACCGTCTTATAGAGAGTCAAAGGAAGTAAAGAAAGGCAAGGGCGGACTCCAGGTGTCCATTTTACAGAGGTGTCTGTCTTTTAGAGGTGTCCATTAAGAGAGAGTCAGCTTTTATAATATAAAAGATTGATTGTCAGGGTGATCGAGTGTAGTCCTGAATAGGTGTCAATGTGAATTTGACTCTGAAGATGAGTACTGCGCAGGTTGTTGAAACATCAGTCTCTGTCATCCACTAAAGTCCTATTCAGGACTTAACTCACTCGGATGATCATATGTTTCACCTACTTATGAAATGACCCCTGGGTTCAAATGTTTCACAGAAACTTATTACCAGGGTGCAAAGAAAGTCAGTTTCACAGCCTGCCATTTGGGCAAGCTGTAGCTAGCATGTACTGGCTCACAAGTCATTTCAACTAGCCCCAAAACCCTTTTTGATTAGCAGGATTGATTACAATCCTTCAAAATTTGAATTTCTTCAGAAAACAGCACTTGCCCATTGGGCAAGTTAAGAACAAGAATCACAAGCCCAATAGCAAAATCCACTATCGACTATTGGACACAACTTTCTTTGCACGCTGATTACACGTAATATAAGTCAGTAGATAAATGTTGAATAAGCCTAAACAGGAGATAAGTTACAAAATATACTGTCTACATCCCTGATTTAACACTCAAAGGGACACAGCCAATGGTGTGTATAAAAGATCAGGGTTTGAAGGAACTCACATCTTAGGCAACATTACCCCCTTTCTCTGAGTTATGCTACTTTGGGTTATAATCTCATCTACTCAGACTGATTTCTTTCTGAGGTTTTGTAGCACTTAATTAAAATTTGAATATGGTTGAACATTTACTTAGGCAACAAGGATTTATGACGTTGAGAAGGTGGATCCAAATGTTGCAGAACAGCAAGGAGAAACTGGTTTGCACCTTGCCGCAAGAGATGGTTACTTGGAATTGGTAAAGTTTCTTTTGGAGATTGGAGCTGATGTTAATCGGAAAGGTATATATGATCAAACCAAGGGGTGGAACATTCCTTACTGCCTTGAATAACGAGCATTATGGATAAATTTATTTGTTACGCTGTTATTAATCCTTAATCTTCAATGGTGGTAAAGGTAAAATAAAGCCTGTGTTGCAGCTAGCAGCCAAGGGGTCCATTTGTGCAGCTAGCTAATATCCCAGCTATTTCCATAGAATGAAGGTACTAGGAACATTCTACTTCCTGGATGGGATGCTAACTGTGTCCATCTCAGATTAACTGTACCTCAGCGTGATCCCAAGAAGAGCTCAAACCAGAAGCTCTTGTTCTGAATACCTTGCAATTACCATTAGGCTACCGCACTTCCAAACCTTTAACCCTTTAAGCCTTAATATCCACATACAAATTCTCCAAACTTATCTCTATATATTTCCTTAAAGAATGTGTTGAGAATTTGATAAAAGATCAAAGCATTTTCTCTTAGGTGATCATTTTATTAATTCTCATAACCTAATCTCTTGACATTGTATGGATATCGCTAGGAGAAAATTGATGTTGGTCACTATTGGAACTTAAAGGGTTAATGGGTGATCAGCATCTAAGTTTCTTAAGACAAACAGTGCTTTTTATTGAAATAAGACAGTTTGAAGAATAAAAGTAGTGTGATCAAGTTAGGAAGGCGTTGATTGCAATCATATTCTCCTTAACTATGTGTACCATGGAAACGACTGGAGAAGGTGTTGATAATAAGCATACTGTTCTCTCAAATGAGTTGATTTTATAGGAAAATGTGCAAGAAAATATAGGCATAAATGCTTATTCAAGTTTATGTTTGATTTAAACAGTAATGGCCAAAAATTCAGTTTTTAGACTAGTTTTTTTTTATCATTAGTCTTTTTGAACATTTTTTTTATTATATTGCGCAGAAGGACGCCAAAAAGGCGCAATCCATCTAGCTGCATCAGGAGGCCATCTTGATGTGGTGGAAGAGCTTATTAGGGCTGGCTCTACTTTAGATGATGTGGACAAAGTTGGTCGGTCACCACTCATGTGGGCAGTAGCTTGTGGATATGTTGAAATTGTGAAACTGTTGCTGCAGGCAGGAGCATCTGTGGCAACTCAAGGAAAGAGGCATGCCCTTCATGAAGCCTGTAAGAGAGGATTTCATGAGCTGGCTCAACTGTTAATAGATGCAGGAGCACCAGTAAATAACCCACAGCATTGTAAGTTATTACTTTGCATAATTATTTTATTTTTAAGTCAAGCCATTATTGTGTTAGCCTGAGACTGGTCCTGAGAAAACAGCTGACATATCATGATACCACCAGTGGTTTCCCCACGAAATGACGTCTGAGAAACAAGCGCAGAAACTCCATACTGATGATGCATCATCTACCCTGATTCCCTGATCTAGGTAGTGCTTCTGATTGGTTGAAGCAAATTAATTTTTAGCCAATCAGCACTACTCAGATCTGGGTAGTGATGCATTATCACTAAGTATTGAATGGAATGTCTGTGCTGGTTTTTGCTCATAATTTCATAGGGAAACCAGTGGTGGCATGTTGTTTACTCAGGCTATGATCGTGTGAAGTAACTTAGAATACCATTTCGATACTGAACATCAAGAAACTGACGGGGAGAACAGCGGGAAGACGAATGATCTCTCCAATGCTGGGCCTTACATTATTTTGTGGAACATTTTTATTTTCTTAATTAACAGGTTGTATTTTGGAGGCCTTGGATAAACTGGAATGTAATTGGACAATTGCATTAATATTACTGTAAATAGACAAATCATAGTGCCCTTTCATTAAAGCCCATCCTCTTTAATGTTAAAAACATTAAAATTAAGAAGATCACCCCTTCTTACTAAATAAATTGTAGTCAATGTGTCAAGAGCTGATCTCCTTATAGCGAGGACCTTTATCTTCAATAAATGTGGCATAAAAACTACACAAAGAATGATCCATGAGGACATCACACTAGGAATTTAGCATGCTTTAAGCCTGCTCTCCTCTGCAGAGGCTTAAAGGGGCATGGTGCAAGTGAGCGCGGGCACTGGTTTTTGCACCTGCTCTCACTTTGCGCAGGCGAAATCCAATAACATGTCACTGAGCCTCTGTAGAGGCTGAGGAGAGAGCTTTAAGTCAAACTAAGGGCGGTTTCCATTTGTCAGAACTGACCGGCCAGGACGTTCCCCTCATAATGAGAATGTTTTAACTTTTAATGAAAGCTATCCAGCCAGATCAGACAAATGCTTAATAGTATGCATGAAGGAAATCGTTTTTCATCAAAAACTCTTGGAAAAAGCCTACTTCATTTTCAAAATGAGCGGTGCAGCCATGGTCTGGCCGGCCAGTTCTGACTTTTGGAAAGCGCCCTAAGTTGTTTAACTCATCTCGACAGCCAGAAGAGTGATTCAAATTTTAATTGTTTGTCTTTATTATTGTTAATTAGTTTCTGGCTATGAACCATGGTCACCTCTCCATATTGCTGTTCGTCAGGGATATCTTGATTGTGTCAAGTTATTAATCAGGGCGGGGGCTGATGTAAACAGTGTTAATGCAGGCAAACACACCCCTTTACATGAAGCTGCATACAGAGGATATGATGATATAACATCAGAACTTCTTCTTCGAGGAGCAGACCCACATGCAGCCAGTAATCAGAAGAGAACACCTTTACATGAAGCTTGTAGGCAAGGTATTTTTGTGACACTCTCTATTACCGTATTTATTTGAATAAGTGCCCAACCTCGAATTAGCGCCCACCTTGAATAAGCGCCCATCCTAAAGGCAGAAAGAGTTAATAAGTGCCCAGCCTTGAATAAGTGCCCACCCCCTTCTCCTCCCAATCAAACTCAAATAAGTGCTCACCCCCACCCCACCCACTTGAGTGAATAAATTCTAATAAGAGACTTCCCCGAGGACAAAGTTTTCCTCAGGGTATTTTACAGAAACCTTGCTTCGTTACATCTCCGCGTTTTGTTGTTAGCATTTATTGTTTTGTTGCAAAATAAACATACTTCACTTGCTGAAAATGGTGAAAATTCAATAAGCGCCCAGCCTCGAATAAGCGCCCACTCTCAAGGTCCAAAAATTTAATAAGCGCTTAGGGTGGTTAATCGAATAAATATGGTATTTTCAAGTCTAGGCTTGAAAAAAGTCATATCTAAAAAAGTCATATCTAAAAAAGTCATATCACCTTTATATGAAGCTTGTATGCAAGGTACCGGTACTCTAGTCTTATGACACAATCCTCAATTATTTTACACGTTATAATAAAAAATGTGATATTGCACACACAGACTCCAATTATAATAAGTAAAACAATAATTTATTATCGTTTTACTGATTGGTCCTTATTAACCCTTTGCTTTCACAATTCTACACCTATTTGTTTCCATCTCTGTCAAAGTAGCAATACCAAAAATTATTCTTGATCTGCAAGCGATGATTTCATTAAAAAATAATAGATTTGAAAGAAAACAAGTGAGGCCATTGTACATTTTTAGGAAACTACACACCTACCCCTCCCCTAAGCCAACATTAACGCCTTCTTTAAACTTAGGGAAAAATGTTGGCTTAGGGAAGGGGTAGGTGGGTGGTTTCCCAGAAACTTATAATGATCTGGCTCAAGATTAGGTATTGTAGTACTGTCATAGTATTAATCTGCTGGTCATATTACTGTAGGTAAAGTAAGGAGTGCAATTATGCTGTTGGATGTTAACAGCAAGGTCAATGCCAGAGATTTAGTGAGAGACACCCCTCTTCATCTTACGCTCAGAGCTTATCGTCATGACATCACGGTTCAGTTGACATCTGTTCTTCTCCAGTATGGTGCATCACCAACACTTCTTGGAGGAGAAGATGACACGCCGCTGGACATAGCTCGACAAACAGGCAGGGAATCCTGTTTGGAATTACTACAAGCTGCTTTAGGTGAGAATTATACAACCCAATGCACGTTTAAGATGAATCTAAACTGCCTTGAAGCAAAACTGCCGGGTGTTGCTTGAATTTGAAGCATAATTATTTTTGAGAAGCAAAACATTTACGTTTGAGCCAAAATAGTGCTCTGTCTTTAGTAATTTGGATTTCCAGGAAAAAAAAATCACTTTTTCCCTTATTGTTCTTTTTGTGTGCCAACTAATTGAGTTGATTTTCCTTTTTTTTTCAGAAATGCCACAACCACTTACTCATATTTGTAGGGTTCTTCTGAGAAAACAGTTAGCTTGTCATTGGGACTATATAGCTGAACTTCCATTGCCAATGACATTGAAGAGTTTTCTACAATTTGAAAATGGATTTTAATTGATCATTGTCAAAATAGACAAGTTTAATACGATCTATGCTCTCCAAGCAAAGTGCTGAATTTAATATTCAGCTTTGTCTTTGCCTTGTTGATTGGCCTTTTATGCTAAATGTATTATTATGGCTTTTTTTGAAAAAGGTCTATTACAATAATTTCATTGCATAAAACAAAATTAATGGCATTATGTAAATATGTCTTCGACTAGTAAATTATTTTTCATAGAAGAAAAAAGGAAGCGTTGCAGGCAATTTGTCAATATTTATTTTATTGTTTTTATTTTGTTCATGTTATCAAGTAAACATGTCGGAAGCCATTTTCGGTAAAAAAAATGAAAGAAATTTGTAAATAATGAGGTGGATTTTGCTACCCAATAGGTGTACTGTGCAGGGGCGGATCCAGGATTTTTTTTAAGAGGGGTTGCACTCGTCTCTTGCTCTACTTCAACACCAATAAACCACATAGTTTTTTTTGCAGAATACCTGTTGTATTAGAAAACCGCAGGTCATCTCACGGGGGGGGGGGGGGGCCCCCCCCCCCCCCCCCCCCCAGACCCCCCCCGGCTGGGGGAGGGAAAAAAACTAGGCCTACATGGCCAAAGCATTTTTTACATTTTATTTTAAATTTGTTGAGTTTATATTTATTTTTTTCGCTCCAGAATGAAAATTGTCCTTTTTTTGTTTCTATCTCGTTCCGTTTTCATGTGCAGATCAAAATATAAA